AAAGCTGTACAAAAAAATAACGCAGAACAAATTTTAAAAATTTACTCTGATTGGAAACATCATAGCGGTACACATAATAAATAATATTAAGAATTTAGAAAGAAAAAAAATTACATAGAAATGTACTTTAGTATATAATTACATATGAAAATTAAGATTATATAGAATGAACAATATTTTATTGTTAGAATAATAATATGAATTTACTAGTCCTATAATAAATAAAATTTTCTTGATTTTGAGCAATATAACATTCCAAAATAATTGTTTGAGAAAAAACCATTATTTCTAATGAGATTTTTTCATAGGCTGTATTATTTACTTTTTCGGAACTCTTTATCTGAACATTCGAGACTTTTTTTTTGCATTATACATAGTTACAATTATATTTTATAAAGTTTAATTATGCGGTTAATAATACGGTTAACCGTGCGGCTAATCGTACGGTTAAATAACGGTTTTGATACGTTTCCGGTATATTAACGGTTACGGTTAGTATATTTTTTTAACCGTAACTAATCTAGTAAGCATGACCAAAAGCTAACCTTAACCGTATTTTGGATCGTAACTGGACCGTTTTTCAACCGTAACCGTATAAAACGGTTAAAAACCGTAACCGTTAACCGTAAAAAATAATTAGTTACTGTTAAAAAATATATTAACCGTAACCGTTAATTAACGGTAAACATATGAAAACCGTTATTTAACCATATGGTTAACCGTTATTGTTAAAACTTTAAAAATATAATTGTAACTCCATATAATGTAAAAACAATTATCGAATGTTCAGATTAAGATTTTCAAAAAAGTAAATGATACCGCATATGAAAAAATCCACGTTATAAAAAATGGTCTTTTTCTCAAACAAATATGTTATACTGTTATTTTGCTCGAAATGAAAAAAATTTGGTTTGTAACATACTTTTTGATTTTGTGAAAAGTATTATAATAAGTTAGGTAACTCGTAAGATTTCGCCTCCGATATTAACCGTATTGTAGTCATCAAATAACTATAACCGTAATTATCGGTAACCGTTGTAACCGTAACCGTATTTAACCATAACCGTTATAACCGTATTTAACCGTAACCGTTATAACCGTATTTAATCGTAACCGTATTTAACCATAACAGTATTTAACCGTAACCGTTTTAATTTGTTTTTGTTTTTGTCCAAAAAAAACTGTTTATGTTATAGTGTACCGCTTTTCATAAAGTTTTTGTAATTGGTAACTGTCAAAGCTGTACAAAGCTGTACAGCTTTAAAATGGGTTACCATTCAAAGCCAATATTTGTATGTGTGTTTTTCTTGGGGTCAAACTATGTGTGTATGTGGAATGTCAGAATGTGTATGGGTATGTGTAAGGTATTTTAATTGATGTTAAGTATTTCGTGTTTCTCGAATTTGTGCTATAAAGTGATAATAAGTATGATGGTAAACAGTTCAAATATCATTTTTTTTTTTGCATATAACACGTAACAGAAAGAACATTTTTTTTGGTAACACAAAAAAAAAAGTGATAATAAACATATTATCCATAGAATTTATTAACAATGGTAGAAACCATAACAAATACTAAAAATATAAAACATGTTTTCTTTTTAGAACAGAAGTTTGTCATCCCTCCACACGGAAACTAGAAGGTCCGTCTCAATATATAGTGGAGCCTATGAGAACACCAAAAACAAAACAAAAAAAATCTAAAGCCTCTTAGAAATTAAAAAATAAAAAAAATGGACCTTTTAACTTCAAGAAATTTTTTGAAATTAATTTTGGATCCATGGTATTTGCCTAGAGGTAGAGACTGCCGGAATAGAACTAGTAGTCATTATATAGTACAATCTTAAAATACACTGCACTTGGTAACTGAGTCATCGATAGCGTAGTTATATAGTCAACCCTCACCTTCAAATCATGGCCACAAGTATAAATCTAAACATCACTATTGAATTTAAGGTTTTGAACTTTATGTGCTTTCATTATTAATATTGGTCAAAACCTATTTGAATTTGAGAAACAGAACTGTGAATGATTTCAATCACGCAGTCTAGTCATGCTTATGTTCTTGATATCTATATACAGTTCTGGTTTTGGTATGAACAAAGTTTGACGAAAATATACAGCCTAAAGCTTCCTATTGTTCTGAATTAATGGACCATGACTACCCATCTATTGATTTTTTTTTTTTTATTACCAATCTGCCTTAATCTATGTAGCCATATGGGTTTGGTTCTTAAAATTAAAACAATTATTATCCCCATTCAAATCCGTATAAGCAATCTAAATTAAAATATATTTTTTTATTTTGTGTGAAATCAGCTAGAAGGACAACTAAAACGAAATAGAGGGAGTTCAAATCTAGCTTGGAATTTTCACACTATTAATTGAAATACATTATTATCGACTAAAAAAATTAAAAAGACACACAAACACAGTACGTCTACAAATTCCAACAAAAAAAAAAAAACGAAGACGACATTACAACAATTAACACACATAATCCTTGGACCTGAGTCATCTATCTCATAGTCAACACTCAACATGTGAGTGCGTCTCTTTATCCAATTTAATCCAAATTCTCTATCACGTCTTGAATAAACTTTTCCAAAGCCGCCTTCGAAGATCCACCGTCCATTAACGCCCCGTGACACTTCTCCGCCATCTCCTTCACTCTATTCCTTACATCACTATCCTGCTCCATCACACGCCTGATAGCTCTCTCTATATCCTCCGCCGTAACCGTCTCCATTTCTCCGACCAACAACAAATCACCTCTAATACACTTACGTATCTCCACCGCCAACCCCAACTCCTCCACCATCTCAAACGCGTTAACCTTCTGCTCCGCATAAAGCGGCCACGTCACCATCGGAACACCAAACCACAAGCTCTCTAGCATCGAGTTCCAACCACAATGAGTAACAAACCCTCCTATCGCCGGTTTCTCTAACACCGCCACTTGTGGTGCCCATCCGATCACTTTCCCTCTATCCGACGTCCGCTCCAAGAACCCCTCCGGTAAAACCTCCTCAAGATTCGTGTAATCTCCGGGACGTTCCATCATTATATTCGGCGATGCACGACGGAGAGACCAAAGAAACCGGTGACCGCTACGATCTAACGCAACAGCTACCTCTCTAGTTTGCTCCTCAGTGAAACCTCCCATACTTCCAAAACAGAGAAACACAACAGATTTCGGCGGTTGCTCATCGAGCCACCGCAAAATCTCCGATTGTTTTTCACCGGTTTCGAGATGCAACACTGGTCCAATAGGATAAGCTTGAGGAAGATCAACATTATTAAACATTTTTAAAGCTTGAGGCTCAAGCTCAGCAACTGTATTTACCAAAATACCCTTCATCTTCCGGAAAAATCTAGCTTGAGCTACAAAGAATGGTAACCACTCATTTGAAGTGAGGACATGAGGAAGACACTTCACTGGATAAGGACGTGTCAAACACGGGAACTCCAATTCGTTGACTGACTCATCCAAATCGCTGACGTCACATTTCTTGTCGTCGTACATTTGTTGAACGTGAAGTGTGATTCCCAGAAACGTAGCGTTTGATGTGTAGACCATATAACACGGAACTCCGAATTCGTTAGCTATATCGATCATTGAAGAACAGAACATGTCCACCACGAAACCGCCGAGTTTTCGTGTTGGAGTGATGATTCTGGCTACTGTGTCTCTCACTTTTGGTTTTTGTTTCTCGATGTAGACTTGAGACGGTTCTAGATTGGCGGTTGGTGGTTCTTTTACGACGGTGATGGGTTCGTAACGGAGACGATCTTGAGACTCTGTCGTGAGGGATGCGATATAGGCGGTTGCATCACCGGCGTCGTTTCTTGAAGGGATGATGATTACGGTGATGGAGAGATCGTCGTTGCTGCTGATGAGTTGCTTTGCTAGCTTCACTGTTGGCCGGAGATGGCCAATTCCCGGCGAAGGTATGAACACGAGCTCAATCATCTTCATTTTTTTTTTTTTTGGGTTTTTGGACTTTTCGTGTTGGCTGGGTTAGAATTGGTAAAAGTAAAGGGATTATTTTATAAGGTAAATGAAGTTGTTTGTCGGGTCACGTAAGCTGGCCCATTTAGCATTATTGGGCCAAGAAAAACCTAAAATACGGTAGCCGCCTTAGGAAACCCTAATTTCTCAGAAGAGTTTCTTTGAGTCTGCCTGTGAGTATTTATATGTTTTCGTTTGCTACAAACTCGTAGGATCTTGCTTTCTTTTCATGTCTTTTATGATATAATTGGTTATTTTAGGGATAGGTATGTGACTATTTTATTTTCGTGTCTGTATATGATAAAATTGGTGATTTTTAGGGTTTTTGTGTAAGAGATTTGTGATGTGTGGAAGGGGTTACTATGGTGATGATACAAGTGTATGTGGACTAGAGTTTCAGATCTGGGATTCTTCTCCCAGAAGTTGAAGATTAACCCTTGGCTGTCTGAGTACTAATCACCCTTTCACACAAAATTATATCTTTTGTTTGATTTGATTGATGTTTTTGTCCTTGTTTGGGTTATAAGCTGATGATGATAAAAAACAATTATCTTAGCGGATTTCAGTGAGGTTCTTGAGTCAATGATCTGAATTTGTTACACACACTGAAGCTTTTATGTTTTTGTTACAATGTTTGTTTTTGGATTTGTATCCTTTGGGTGGGTTGATGTTTTTTCTACTTGTGAGCTGATGATGATAAAAAACAATTATCTTAGCGGATTTCAGTGAGGTTCTTGAATCAATGATCTGAATTTGTTACACACACTGAAGCTTTATTATTACAATGTTTGGCTTTTTTTTTGTTGGATTATTGTTGTGTTTGATGATGCAATGATGAGAGAAAAGCACGAAGAGTGTGAGAAGAGCAGTGGTTATACCGTGAGCTCTCCTATTTAAACGACTTCTCCTTCCACTGAGCATATTGAACGAAACTTCCTCTTTTGAAGAAATATATTGAGTGTTTTTTGGTTTTTGTATTGGCGTCCATTACCAATTCTAAGGGATAAACACAATTCCTTGAGGTATAATGGCTTGTGACGCTATATTGGTTTGTGGTATATCCTGATCATCTTTCTTTTTTTCAATTCCTTTTGATCCTGGAAATGCCTCGCACATAATAACAATCGGTCTTTTGCCTTTTTTTTTTTTTTAATTCTGGAAATGTCTTTTCTAAATTCTAATTACCACAGCTTTAGTATTTGTAAATTTGTGTAATTTGATGACAATGTATACATTTCATATGACATCTTTTGCTGCTTTTCTTCATCTCCTTGTATTAGCTTTTTCATCAACAGACGATCGTTGCATTGTTGTGAGTGCTACAATGTCGATGGACTAGTACAAGATTGGTAAAGTCGCTAACTCAGAGATGCTAGAGACTATGAGGGGCATACGGGGATATTACAGGGAAACCGCCACTTGTTTTTCCTCGTTATTCATTGATTCTCAAGATGTGACACTTCTTTGATTTTCGGGGATTTTAGGACTTTATGAAAACAGTTTCTGTGTTCAAATGTTGTTTCCTATGCTACTTTTGGAAAACAAGTTGACCACTATTAACTGTTCTTTTTGGACTTCTAATGAATTTTGGACACCTATTAAAGTGTTTAGCAAAAGTACAAAACAATTGACTTATCAGGTAACAAGTGTCTGTTCTAATGAGTTGATTTTTGGACATTTAATTAAATGAGTGACACCTATGGAAGAGTGATAAACAAACATTGACAATTGGACAGGTAATGCTATGACAGATTGTGTCAGCTATTGCAGTGATCGTGTGTTGAATTGCATGCAATAGGAGATGTTTCAAAAACAGTGCATCTTAAGGTCTTAAGTTTCGATTGCTAGGGAGTTGACTACGTATCCTTCTACGGTATCCGGTTCTAGGAGACTCCAGGCCTTAAAGCCCAGAAACCTTTACCAAAAACTAAAATGAATCATGTGAAAATTTGGCATGGCTAATTCTTTATTATATCTGATTTTTGTGCCGAAACTCATACTTCGAAAATAAATTGTTTCTTGACTCGGAGGAATTCGTCGAAAATTGGATGTTGTGGTCGGGAAAAAAATCACAAACGAAAAATCAATCTTTTGTCATCGAATAAATGATTTTCCAGTTTATTTCACAAAGTTTTCTTTCAATCATTGAAGTAACCTCTCTTCTTTTTATATGTGAGAACTTGGGCAATATACTTTGTAAAGTTACAGAAATTGATACTATAACTATCCATAACCACCGGTTAATCAAACCAGACTAGTATGCTGCAAACTCATAATTAAGTTCGTTAAACCAACACTCGGAATAAATTGCTTCGAACTAGTCTTATTACTCGGATGTTTTGAATAACAAGAAAACGTGTTCTAAATGAATGTGTACGTAATTACCTCATAGAAAACATACACGTTTTCTAATAAATATCTACACACTTTCTTGCGAGCCACACAAATTAACTAAAGAATCAAACTAAAACTCCGAAATTTATGGTCAACCACATTAGGACAACAAAAAAATCTAACGAACAAAAAAAACCACACGTGACAAAAGATACCCCACGTGGCAAAAACCCACTTAACTAGGTGGACCCCACACAGAATAAAAACAGAGCAAAACCTTTTCTTTCTCTGTTCTTTCTCATCTCCTTCCACTGGGACTCACACACCCTTGTAAAGTTTCTATCTTTGGAACCCTAAAACACAAGCGATTTTACACGTTTATTGCTATACTCTATTTCGAAAAATTTCTTCATTAATTGGTTATGAGTTTCTAGACATTGTATGATCATTGTGATTTTAGTACTGATCGATTTCGAGAACCCACAATTTCTTAGTTTGTGAGTGCTTGCTTCTCTAACCTCCATTGAATCTCACACACACATGTATTAGTCACAGTCACACTAAAAAAACATAGAAACCTATAATGAATCTTCATTGCTACGATCTAATTCTTCTGTTTCCTATAAACATATTTGATCTCTAAATCTGATTTTGTCTCACGATCCTTATATGGTGCAGGATTATAGGTGTGTGTAGCGATTGGGATTGAGAAATCGTTATTTCTATTCGAGTTTTGTCTTTGAAGAAGTATGGAGGCTCGATGTGACTATTGTGAAACCGAAAAAGCATTAATTTACTGCAAATCCGATTTGGCTAAACTTTGTTTAAACTGTGATGTTAATATACACTCAGCGAATCCTCTGTCTCAAAGACACACACGGACTTTACTCTGCGAGAAATGTTTCTTGCAACCCACGGTAATCCACTGTATGAACGAGAAGGTTTCTCTTTGCCAAGGATGTCAATGGACCGCAAGTAACTGCACTGGTTTAGGACACAGACTTCAGAATCTGAATCCTTACTCTGGTTGTCCTTCTCCATCAGATTTCGCCAAGATCTGGTCTTCGATTTTAGAACCTTCTGTCTCAAATTGGGTCTCTCCATTTCCTGATACCCTGCTCCAAGAATTAGACGATTGGAATGGTTCATCAACTTCCGTGGTTACACAAACTCAGAATCTTAAAGACTATTCTTCTTTCTTTTCCATGGAATCTAACCTTCCTAAAGTGCTAGAGGAGGTAACGTGTTGTTTAAGTAATATACCAAAATGTTAAATTATGATAAAGAACACAGTTTTCATTTATATTCCATTCTCTATGCAGGAATGTTCTGGTTTGGATCTATGCGACGGGATAAACTTGGATGATGCGCCTTTGAATTTCAACGCAAGCAATGATATTATCGGATGTTCATCACTTGACAATACCAAATGTTATCAGTACGAGGATTCTTTTAAGGAAGAGAATGACATTGGCCTTCCTTCTCTACTGCTTCCTGCGTTATCCGAAAATGTTGTTCCGAGCAGTGCGACTGATTACCAAGATTGTGGAATTTCGCCAGGGTTTCTGATAGGAGATTCGCCATGGGAATCGACTGTTGAAGTTATATTTAATCCAAAATCAAGGGATGAGGCTAAAAAGAGATACAAACAAAAGAAATCAAAGCGCATGTAAGTTTTTAGAAAAAGAGTTAAGGTTTATGCTTTTGAAACATAATAATCTCTGAGGATAAATTTTGATATTTGTGGTAACATTTTTTAGGTTTGGGAAGCAAATACGATACGCATCACGCAAAGCCAGAGCCGATACGAGAAAACGAGTGAAAGGAAGATTTGTGAAATCTGGAGAAACTTTTGAGTATGACCCATCACTGGTTATGTGAACTAGTGATTCTTCACTGCGATAAAGTCTCAGTTAAAGAATAATCTCACTCCATCCACGGGATTAACAGTTTCTTGTCGGAGAAGTAACAAAAAAAGTATACAAGATCAAACAATAAAACCCTGAAATCAAGGCAAAGGTGATACCAAATGGAGACAAAAAAAATTCTCAAATTTGCTCTTTTTTTTTACTAGAGAATTTCCTCTGTTTTTGATGTGACCAAAGAACCTACCGGTCATACAGCGACCAGACGATCAGACCAAATCAAGAAACCAAACAAGAGTCATTGACTCTTTCTTACTTATAGTTTCTTTATACTCAATTAAATGTTAATGATAGAAAAATATCTGTTTTCTTTGTGTTTTGGACCACTCTTTACTTTTCCATTTCACTTGATTGTAATTTGTAACGTTGTATTGTTTTCTTGTTTAAGGAAAATAAAGCCAAAGAATAAAGGCAGATTATGTTTGCCATAGTAAGAGTTGTTCTTGATTGCTTAAGTTTTGCTATATTTGTCTAACTGTTTCTTGGTTTTCAAATTTTTTAAAACTTTTAAGCTTTAGAATGTAAATTCTTATAACATTTCTATAGAAAAAAAGTTATTACATAAACCCTACCAAGATTTTATCTTAATTACGAGAACAAAACAAAACAAAAAAATCAGAGAAACACAAAGGGGACTTTGTGATCACTACCATCTTCTTCAACCCTTGCCATCGTCCTTATCTCCGGTAAAACGACATTAAAATTAGCACCGACAAGACATTGACGAGTTAACTTCTGACAGGTCGTGCAGATCACGCGCCGGAGATGTCTCCGAGCAAGAAAATTAGCAGAATGGACCCATCGATCACATTTCCTACAAAGGAAAGCCGCGTCTGCCTCACAATACACGGTGGCGTTCTCGCCGCAAAGCTCGCAGCTCACCGGAGCTCTAGGACCCTCCGTGCATAGTCTTTGGCATCCTCCGTCGTCGCTTCTTCTCTCTTCTTTTTTCTCAACTCCTTTGCACATCTTTTACTCTCTCTTGTGTAGTTGTGTTGAAAGTCTTGACGATTTATATAGGAATGATTGTTATTTAAAGCAAATGGATATTTTGATTATGTCATTGAATAGGTTGTACACGTGGGAAAATATTGACCTATTGTTTTGATGTAATTGTCCCTAGAGGGCCAAATTGTCAATAATTTAGTTAGTTTTCCTCCACCAGACGATCTTTCATCCTCATGTTTGGATACACAAATTTCGAGTAGTTGACTAGTATGACTCTTAATTTGGTTCACATATCACAATCACCTTCTAGAATGAATCATTGAATCATGAATAGCATTTTTGTGGTCTATAGAAAAGGAGTATATAATATCCGAATTCATTAATTATCAAACTACTGTGCAAGTTTTTCAATGAGATATAATATATGAACCGGGAATTGTATAACCCTCTAATTAACATATTATTTTACGTGTTTCTATAACATTTTATGATTCAATCATGTTTTCACTTAGATAAGAATATTTATATTTCAACTATTTCTGTTCGTTTTTATAAATTCAGTCATACTAGATGAATACCCACGCTACGCGTGGGTTATGTTAAAAATTGCAGAAAAAATATGATTATGGTTTTTGTTGCGCTTTATGTTATTTTGTGTGTGTTATTATATAATTAACTAATAAAGTCATATCTATTTTCTATAGTTATAATTTTTATGATTAGATTCATCTTTGACTCGTAATATTAATTCCACGTTTTTAATATATAAACCTGATTATTTATATACCTACGATACTAATCTTTCATTATCATGAATACATACAACAATAATATATGATATATTGATACAATGGTATGTAATTATGTTACTTATGTGGTTTGAAATTTGCCTAACTTAATTCTAAACAAAC